CACACCTCATCACGTTCTACAGCGGTAATACCAACTCAAATTGATTTCGTCCTCGTCAGGCAACGTGATCGAGGGCTAGTGACGGACGCGAAGACAGTGCCGTACGAGACAGTCGCACGCAACATCGACCACTGATTTGCACATTAAAGATTGCCCCTCCAAAGACCAAGAAAGCCGAACGGTGTGGGCCTGCAAGGATCAAGTGGTGGCGACTGAAAGAAAAGGAATCCGCTCTGTTCAGTCGCATTCGGCTACCGCCAGTAACGACTGTCGACGAAACATGGAAACGTGCCACAGAAGCGATAGTCCTGCTCGCTCCGAGCTTGGCATTACGAAGCCTGGACGGCGGAAAATCGACAAGCAGACATGGCTGTGGACCGACACTGTCAGAGAAAAAGTACGGGAGAAGAAAAGGCTCTACCAAGTGTTTCTCGGTGACAAGTCAAGCGATAACTGGAACAACTATCAGAGCGCGAAGAAGGCAGCAAAGAAAGCTGTGGCTGTTGCTAGAGCTGCTCACTTCGATGGCGTTAGCGAGAAGCTCGAGACGCGCGATGGCGAACGCTATATTTACAAACTAGCCAAAGCTCGCCATCGCCAGACCGAGGATATCGAGAAGTTCTTCGGCATTAATGACGAGAACGGGCGCTCCTAATGGACCGCAAGAAGGGCTGTGAAGCGATGGCACGACTACTTCGAGAAAATCTCGACAGTAGAATTCTCACATCCGCCAATCCCTTCTGCTCCTCCGGTTTACGGTCCTGTCTCGAAGATAACTGTGAGCAAAAGAATAGCGGCTTTGAAGGAAGGGCGAAGACAGGTAAAGCAACGGGTCCCAACGACTTGGCGGCCGATCTGTGGAAGTCACAGTGCTGGGCAGAGTGGCTGACGAACTTCTTCAACCAAGTCGTTGCAGAAAAGAAAGTGCCGGAGAGTTGGCAACAGAGCACGACGATCCCGATTTGGAAGAAAAAGGGAGTCCTGCAGATTGCACGAGCTACCGACCAATTCGTCTGCTCTCCCACAGCATGAAGGTATTCGAACGAATTGTAGATCGCCGTATTCGTGACATAGTCCAGCTTACCGTGAACCAATGCGGCTTCGTGACTGGCTGCGGCACCATTGATGCCATACACGCCGCTCGTCTTCTGCTAGAAAAACACCGTGAAAAACAAAAGCCGGTGCATTTTGCCTTTCTAGACTTGGAGAAGGCTTTCGATCGCGTTCCACGTGAAGTAATATGGTACGCCTTACGACAACATGGCGTCCCCGAAGAGCTTATTGAGTGGGTTCGCATGCTCTACTCAAGCCCAAAGAGCCGAGTGCAAACGTCAGCTGGCGTTTCAACGGAATTCCCCATCTCTGTTGGGGTACATCAGGGCTCTGCGCTTTCCCCACTTCTTTTCGTTGTCGTCATGGATGCCATCTCACGAGATCTTCAGAAACCGGCTCCATGGACGCTTCTCTATGCTGATGACGTGATGCTCGCCTGCGAAGACAAAAACGTACTCGAGCAACAAGTGCAAGCTTGGTGCGATCGCCTAGCGATGTTCGGACTTCAGGTTGAAGTGTCAAAGACCGAGTACCTGACACCGACACGAGCGAGTGCGGTTCTATCAAAATAAATGGCACAGAGCTGACACGTACAAGCATTCAAGTACCTTGGATCAGCAATCGCGTCCGATGGTAGTTTAAGTACTGAGGTGAATTCACGCGTGAGTGCGGCTCGGCACGGAGCGTTTTTTTTTGCCGGGCGTATTAATGTATAGGACAGTCATAAGACCAGTGGCAAAGTACGGCGCTGAGTGCTGGCCAACGACCAGGAATGAAGCCCGCCTCGGTGTAATGGAGACGAAGATGCTGCGCTGGACGGCTGGTGTCACGCGATTAGATCGCATTCGAATGATGTCATACGAGAACGCTTTGGTGTAGCTCCCATTGCTGATAAAATGCGCGAAGCTCGGCTTCGATGGTATGGCCACGTTCTTCGCGGAAATGATGACAGTGTTCGCAAGATCGGCCTCAACATAAACGTGCCTGAGAAACGAAACGGCCTAACGCTGCATGTGGACTTGAAGTTGGTTGGCATCCAATCAAGCATTCAATCGGGAAAAGTGGCGTCATTTCATTAGAAAAGCGGACCCCGTCACCAAGCAGGACAAACCCCAAAGAAGAAGAAGATATTTCTACTACATATAATGCGCTATGTCTGTCTGTCCCTCTGTCCATCTCTCACGAAATTCGGGTAAGCGAAGATCAACCTACAGGGTCCGGGTCAGGGTCAACCGTCCGTTGGACAAAGTCCAACGCATGGCTCTCTAGCGTGTGAGAGTAATGCCGAGAGTGAACGTACGCACGGAGACACAGACGGCTCGCGGGTGGCGAGAGTGAATGCCGGCGCGGAGAGCGGTCAACGTCGGTCCAATGTCGGTCCAACGTAACGGTTGACCTGGTCCGGGTCAAGCTTGGGATGGGTGCGCCATATCTCGAGAAGTAAAAAACATACATCAGCCAAGCGGAGCCCCGCCCACAGTGGGCGTGGCGTGTCGAAATGAGCGGTACTGAGGACCATGATTTCAAATTCAGTCACAAAACAGCCTCGAGACTGGGAACAAAAGTGGGCATAGGTGTGCGTTGGCAAATCAGACTGAACTGGGGAGCAGGGTCAACCGTCCGTTGGACAAAGTCCAACGCGACGACGAGAGTAATGCCGAGAGTGAACGTACGCACGGAGACACAGACGGCTCGCGGGTGGCGAGAGTGAATGCCGGCGCGGAGAGCGGTGAACATCGGTCCAACGTCGCTCCAATATCGGTCCAACGTAACGGTTGACCCTGCTGGGGAGACCCACCCTCGGTGGGCGGGGCGTTCTCCAAAAAAGCGGTGCTCAATGAAAATATTCATAACTCGGTTAGGAGAAGCCTACAGAGCAGAAAACGAAATTAGTGCAGGGAGCAATGTCTAAGGTATTTCCAGCATACATGATGTGAACGGAGGCCCGCCCACAATGGGCGGAGCGTGTCGTGAAGCGGACAGCATTTTCTACAAGAGCTCATAAATCGGCTCCGAGATGACTTAGAGACCGGAAAACCTGGATGAGGACCAGAAAGGGAGGGAAGGTTGAGTTTTAATGGTGGGTGCGGCGCGCACAAAACTGGGCGGGGTTTGCCGAATCTATAACTTGGTCCCAAGGAGTCCCGGACACTGGGAAAAAATGGATAGAGGTCAGCGAAGGAAACGACGTCAACTGCACAGAAGTAGGCGGAGATACCCACGAAACATTATAACTTTGTCCCAAAGTCTCAGAGACCGGGGAGAAAGTGGATCGAGTCTGACAACGGAACGGAGGCCATCTGCAATTAGTGGGTGGGGCGTGCGCTAATGCTTCGAACTTGAATCGGTTCCAACAAGTTGTGGAGATATGGGAGAAAGTGGGTAGAGGTCAGCGAAGGAGATGAAGTAAACTGCTGTTGGTGGGCGGAGCATGCACAAAGTGGGCGGAGTTTGCCACGAAACTTCATAACTCGGTTCCAAGAAGTTCCGGAGATGGGAAAAAAGTAGAAAAAGGTTGGGGAAGAGATGATAGTCAACTGATATCGGTGGGCGAGGCATGCACCAAAGTGGGCGGGGTTTGCACATAGCTCGATTTCGTCCCCTACAAGACCTCATAATTCGGCTCCGAGATGACTTAGAGACCTGAAAAACGTGTACAGAGGTCAGGAGGAGTAGAGGTTGAATGTGAACGCTGGGCGTGGCACACCCCGAAGTGGGCGGAGTTTGCCACCACTCTCATAACTCGGTTCCTAGAAGTCCCAGCGACCGGAAAAAATGTGGATAAGGGTTGACGGAGGGAATGGGGTTGAATGCAGGGTCAACCGTCCGTTGGACAAAGTCCAACGCGACGACGAGAGTAATGCCGAGAGTGAACGTACGCACGGAGACACAGACGGCTCGCGGGTGGCGAGAGTGAATGCCGGCGCGGAGAGCGGTCAACATCGGTCCAACGTCGCTCCAATATCGGTCCAACGTAACGGTTGACCCTGGTTGAATGTTATTGGTGGACTAAGCATGCACCGAAGTGGGCGAAGTTTGCGACGAAAATTCATAACTCGGTTCCAAGAAGTCCCGGAGGCCGGGAAAAAGGTGGATGGAGGTGGGTGGAGGAGTGGAGGCCAGCTGTCATCGGTGGGCGGGGCATGACCAAAGTGGGCGGAGTTTGCGACGAAAATTCATAACTCGGTTCCAAGAAGTCCTGGAGACCGGGAAAAAGTGAATGAGTCCGTCAACGAAAGGGAGGTCAAACGCTAATGCCGAGGAGGGGGGGGGGGCGTGCGTTACGTGGGCTTAGTTTGCCCTACACTTATAATTTAGTTCTAAGAAGTCTAAGACCGGGAAAGAAGAAAGTAGATTGAGTCCGTCAACAAAAGAGAGGTCAACTGCTGTTGGTAGGTGGAGCGTGCGCTTATGTAAGAGGAGTTTGTCAAGTGATATCACAGGTACGTTCAAAGCCAATCTGTCCCATATTTGACATATCAGTCCAGGCGGATTTCCACGAAGTAGGGAATTTCGTGACAGACACCTTTACAGGACGACAGACGAGGCGATTAATAGGAAGTAGGATATTGGCTCGTAACAGCAGAGATTTTGTTATTTTTCAGGTAAAATATTTTTCCACTAATCTCATGCTTTTGCGGCAGTTGAAATTTTGCATTGCTCAGCATTCCTGTGTGGCATTGAAGGCATTTAAAAAACAAAACAAGTCACAACTTCATACACCATAGGGAAAAGATCTATCAGCTCTGCGGAAGTGTCCAATTCTTTCCTACATTCGATGTACACAATGCGTTTCAAAAGTATGTGTACATCTTATGTACAAATTTTATGAGAAGACTGGTGATTTTTCAACCCGTCTCATCCATCATACACTTCCTAGGTGCGATGTGCATTTAATTAAGCGATAGCCATCGAACGAAACAAAAAAAATCAAAGCAATCCCAGACTCACTTTGAATATACATCAAACACCAGTAGAAGTTGCTTACGAATATTCGATGTACGTGGGAGCGCTTCTATTAGAGGAACTAGTGGTTCCACAACCACCTTCATCAAATCTTTCTGAAACAGACAGTGCAGTATCCAAAGAAGTATTCACAAAGAGAAAATTAATAACAAAAAGCTGACTCTTCTGTTGTACTCTTCAAGGATTTCTAGAGTACGCTTATTAAGCTTCTTCACTGATGTAAATTTCCATTCCACGGCAGTTTCTTTGACCGTCTAAAACACAAGCCTAATAAGTGCGATAAATACAGTATTTTTCAAGTCGAGCAACAGAAGCCTTGACAGACAAGAGAAAGAATAGAAACACCTTGAATCACACGCAAAATTCTGTTCAAAGAAAAAGAAACTGGTAAAGCCTGAAAACTGAAGAACGGATACTAGATAAATATAGTTACCGTTTGGGGTGCATCTGCAGATTCTTGCTGCTCAAGTAAGTCAGCCGTCAAAGCGGCGGCTTTGTCGAGGGCAGCCTGTCTGCCAGTCGCATCTTCTTCCTCAAGCTCCGCATCCTCAACCTCTTCATCTCGCATTCCTCCCCAATCTTCATCAACATATCTAAATTGTGAGCAAAATTGATATGGCGGGATTCCCTTGAGAATGCAGACAGATCCAAAAAAGGTGATAACCACCAAATACATATTAAGTGGTTTACTTTAAATAGTGGCATCCATTTTCAGTAACCATAATTCAACAGTTTTACTTTCATGACTGATAGTTTTGACACCCGGCATCGCTAGTTCTTTATTCTTTGTTTACAGAGAGCACAAAATACTTGAAACTGCGTTTTGCGACCTTCATTTCTTCTGTGTTTATTTGGAGAAACACAACCCCTCATCTTTTAGAATACCTTTGAGAATTCTACTTGATACCATTTGTCACTATCAACAACACGCGGAAATCAAAATATTACCTCTACGTTGAACATAGTACAACGGACGGTTTACCATGATGCAATCTGTCAATATTGGTTTCAACCCCTCAAAATGGCGAATTCGATTTCAGTGCAAAAAAAGTCCCGGACTCTCGAAAGAAGCTTTGACGAGAAACGGCAAGTATCATAACGCTGAGGCTGCAGATGAAAAGATTTTACTGTAATGGCTGTTCATAAATGCCCTGTGAAAGAAAAGATACCAAAAAGGAGGAAAAACGGCCGCTAAACTTCCCTCTTGACCGCCTCAGCGCTTGGCCATAAAATGGAAAAAAGGATCTGAGAATTAGTTTTACAGCTACGATAGGGAATCCACCCACCACCAACACAGTAACCAGCCATAGTGTATTCTTGTTAGACTGATGCAACAAAGCCCATCTAGCATATGGTTTCGAGAAAATGAAGAAGTGCACAAATAATCAGTGGCTGGATGGATCAATTCGAGATTAAAATTGTATAAATACAGTAACGCTCCACCTGAGACCGACGTCATAGTCGGCGACGGAACAAGCGATGGAGCGATCGCGATCGCTCCATCGCTTGTCCGTCGCTTGCCAATCGCTCTCGGTCGAGCGATTGGCAAGCGATTGCGCAATCGCTTGCAAAGTGCACAAGCGACGGGCAATGGCTCTGCTCGATCGATACCGCAGCCGACTGCATTGACTGGGGGCGGGGCCAATCGCCCGTCGCTTGTGCACATTGCGCAATCGCTCGACCGAGAGCGATTGGCAAGCGACGGACAAGCGATGGAGCGATCGCGATCGCTCCATCGCTTGGTCCGTCGCCGACTATGACGTCGGTCTACAACAATAACGAAAGTTCAACACGGAAGCGAGTATTCACCGTAACCCTAGACGTGGAATAATGCGTACGCGGTGTGGTGTGGGGTTACGGACACCACACCTCAGTCATCGGCCTTGTCTGAAAAATGTTCTGCCACCACCATACAAAGGATTTAGGGTACAGCAGCTAGTGTAGTTGTTGCAGCTTGTTATCAGCAGATGAGATCAGGTGAAGTGAAGCCTTGGTGCTCGTTAAATTGTTTGCCGTTGATGACAGTTAGTTATTCGATAGTTTTCCGGGGAGCGTTCCTCACGTGACCGTTTATCAGCTAACGATTTCAATATTCATTTTATACACGGTTCATGTGGGAATGTTTCCCGCGAAATATTAAGAGCCTTTCCTCAAGACAGAAGTATAGCATCATACCCTTGGACAGGGAGGACAAGTTGTGATAAAAGATTCACTGATCACGAAAAAATAATGCGGCGAAATATACATGTGAACACTTCTACTACAGTCGATATCTCGAAGTCTGATTGGGCGTGTCACCGGAAATGACGTGGCAGCCACCGCACTTGATAGAAGTTGCGCGGATAAGCTGCTTCCAACACGCTTTGCTGATATCTGGCGGAGTATTTTATCCACACAACATCTATCAAGTGCGGTGGCTGCCACGTCATTTCCGGTGACACGCCCAATCAGACCTCGAGATAACTATCAAATCGACTGTACGTTGTTGGCGAATAGAAAACTTTATCCCTCATTGAAGTGGCCGCCCGCTTCACTGATGTATGAATGAAGACATGGGAACACATCGTGCGTGCTACGCAAGATCTACAAGAAGACTCAACAAACCATACAGGCCGGTGTACGGCAGAGTGTTGTTTCTCCGTGACTTACTTGTTAGTCTCTTATTAGGTCGGCAAAAGTGTGAGTTTTGAATACGTCATGCTGCCACGAAGTAACCTCTGTTATTAATTTTGATTTCATTTTGTTCTTCCCCATATTTTCCTTTACATTTTGCCACATGTCCGAGTAGAACACAACATAATATAGCTTATGCCCAATGTTTTGTTTGATTGTACATTCTTTTGGGACCCATGAGCTGGAAAATGATAAAATGTACATAAAGTCTAGTTGCAAAACAATGCAAGTCTGTTTCTCTAGCCGCGAAACAGCCTAACTACTAGGGTGAAGAACTTTCTTTTAAACAAAAGAACACTTCCTGCAAAACAAGTCCGAATGGCTATAAAAGGTACTCAAATCCTTTGTATGGTAATGGCAGAACATCTCGCAGACAAGGTCGATGACTGAGGTGTGGTGCCCGTAACCTCCACACCACACCTCACTACGCACTATTCCACGCCTAGAGTGACGGTGATTACTCGGTTCCGTGTTGAACTTTCGCTCTTGTCACCGGACAGACAGGAAAAGGTCATAGCAATAAGCAAATAATGGTAAGTATTATGACCGGGATAATTCGAACAATTTTTCAGAATAAAGCAGTTCTAACAAAGTAAGCTTTTGCCGTTGATCAATCCCGTCTTGGAATGTGCCACGCATTCTACTTCCATTTGTACATTCGAGCTTTGAATGCGATTGGCAATGACTTGCGGGCCAGCCGATGTACAAGTCAGTGTTTTTATCCTCCCAGACAAGTCTGGTACCAATTAACCGACCCCGGAGGGATGGAAGGCTTGGTTGGCCCAGCGTGACAAGTGCGGCACTTGTCACTACATCACTTCCGCCCATCAACGACAAATATATTATTAAATTTGAACATGAGTAGGAATATATAACAAGAACCGTTAAAATCCTCATGATGACACCGACTTCAATTTACAATCAGAAGAACATTAAAAAAAAACATAAGGACCAAGAAAATCACTTCAGCATAGTTCTTTCACTCGTTCACCAAAAACAGCATTTCTGTTCACTCGCGAATAACTGTATCGAAAGAGAAACATTAAGTGCTCCTAAGCCTACAGAATCGTTTCAACGACTCACTCTGTTCCATAAAAATCCTTTCTTTTTCGTCCCCATTCGTTTCCAACAACACCTTCTAAACAAAGCATTTAGTGCAATCGTTTAAACCTTACTTGAAATCAAAGTAAAGCTAAAATGT